ACTACCGGACACGTAATCGTGAGGTTGGGGGTTCGGGAGTTTGAGCCTCAGCTGGGTCCGACGGTGTGTCCTTGGGAAGGGTGCTTTACACGAATTTCTCAACTGGTTCAGTCCTTTCGGAGATGGACGTTAAACTCGGAGGTCCCGCCTCTTAAATAACTTAATTGCGTTGATACGGGCGTTAAACCTATACCATTTCACCATTTCATATTTCACCATTTCACCATTTCACCATTTCACCATTTCACCAGTTTAGCTGCACAACTCCTCCAACAACAAAATTGCGTAGATCTAAAGTAATATACCTCTCTATGTATGTAGAAGCAACTATAGCCATATATATTCCTCGCTTCCTCCCAGGGTAGTTCTCAGCATTTTCGCTGCGCTCATTGTAGTCGGCACCGTCTATGACGTCATGGTGGTTCGGGGCTACTTCCGGGAGCTCACCGGAAGTGCCGGCCTCAGAAGCGATGACGACGCACGTCAGTCGGAGCAGATAGCCGGTTGTTGCCCGGAGTCCACCATACAGCACAGTGCCAGAGGAGAGTATCAGCCGCTGTCGGACTCCGCGCAAGAGTCGAAGGACGGGATCGATGACTACACGCCGTGTGAGTGGGTGATTAGCGGGTGCTCTGGTGTGGTTTGCTCCTTCTTTCCTATCAAACATCTATCATCCTTATCTCCCCTTCTTTTTTATGTTTGTTACTCTCTTGTAATACCTCTAATCTTCGGCACTTATATGACCGTATAGTGTTGCAAGTGCCGTAAACCGCTTACTAAAATAAACACACCATGTGGGTTCTTTGAGTGGGGAACTGTCAGTGTCACTTGTAGTGTTGTTAAAATCTGTAACTGTTGTCCTTTTTACTGATGGTCATGGTGGTTGTGGTGCTGTCACTGTTGTCTGTTTTATGGATGGTCATGGTGGTTGTTGTTGTGGTGGTGGTGGTGGTGGTGGTGGTTGTGGTGTAGTGGTCTTATCTCTGTTACTGTTGTATTGATGGAATGGTGGTTGTGGTAATGATGATTATGGTGGTGTTGGTGGTGTTGTGGTCTGATCTCTGTCACTGTTGTATTGTCTCTTTTATTGATGGCAATGGTGGGTGGTTGGCGTGTGCTCTGGTGTGGTTTGCTCCTTCTTTCCTATCAAATATCTATCACCTGATCTCTCCTCCTCTTTTTTATGTTTGTTACTCTCTTGTAACACCTCTAATCTTCTGGCGCTCAAATGACCTTATGCAGTTGCGAGCGCCGTAAAACCTCTACTAAAACTAACTTAATAAACTATCTGTCTGACTTGGTTGTTTTGCTTGGGTATTTTTTTCAACACAAATTGACCGTTATTGTGTCTAGAACGAACAAAAGAAACACGAGCAAAAAAAAAAAGAAGAAAAGAAAACCGAAAGAAAAACTTCCAACTCGTCCACAGGTTGTCTTGGCCTTTTCTTCCTCTCCTTCTCTGTGCGGAGCAATGGCGCCAAACTTCTGTCTCTGAAGACAGGCTCTTGGACGATCACGTGCGTCAACGGGATCCGGTTCTTCAGCATGAGCTGGGTGGTGTTACGTCATACTTTTCGCCAGGCCAAAGAGGGGAAAAGTGAGTGAGTGGAACGAGTCTTCTGTTAACCCAATCCGTACGCCCTGGGGTCATTTTGTACCCCCGAGGTTGTATTCTTCACATTTTAGAATACTTCT